TTTTTTCTGTGTTTTCCTTCTTCTGTCTTTCAAATTTTTTAAGATACCTAAATATAGTTCTTTTGAATTCCTTATCAGGGAGTTCTAATGCTGCTTCTTCCTCAGGGATGTGTTCTGGGTCTGTATCCTACTCCCTTATTTCCACCACTTTATCTTGCTTCTTTGTGTGGACTTTGATGGTCTCTTGTCTCTGAGACATTGTGACATTGTTGTATTTAGATCTCTGTTAATTGTTTGTGAAGAGCAGCTAAGGGTGAGTCAGCTTTTCTTGCTGGTTGTTTATTGTTGGGCTGATGGTGGAGAAGGAAATGGTGGCTCTCACTCAGTAAGTGAAGCTGCAGGAGGTGTGGGTGTAGTTGTATCGTATGGGGACTGTTGCTGTCTTCCACTCAGACAAAGATAACAGTTGAATAACCATCAAAAAAGTAATAGCAAATGTACAAAAAACGCACTGTGTAATTTCACAGAACAGTAACCAAAAAAGAAAAAGGAAAAGAAAAAAAAAAAAACACTATCTGGGTAGAGGACAATAAGAGATAAAAGGTAGAAAAGGAGAATAATGAAGAAAAAATGGGAAAAATTCAAAAAGAATAACCAGAAACAGGGTTTACCATGAGAAAGAAAAAAAAATTGCAACTAGGAACAGGGAAATGAAAGAGCTGAAAAGTAGAACCTGGGAAGGGAAGAGTAATAATAAAAAGGACAAAAGTAATAATAATAATAGTAGTACTTTTAAAACAAAAACAAACAAACTAAAAAACAGAAAGAAAAAATCGGGGCAAGGTGGCGCAGGGCACCCAGGCTCCCTCTGAGCACACAGACTGGGATGGAATTCCTACCTGCCTAGAAGATGGGTGGGAGTGAGGGATGGCCGCACCTTTGTTCACCAAAGGGTGTGGGGTCTAAGAATAACAAGGAGAATGTTGCACCTTTCCAGTCGTCCCCATCTGGAATGTCTCTGAGGTTCCCAGCAAGTGGAGCCTGTTCTTAAGTCCCTGGAATCTGGGAGAATGCTGTTGCTTTAAATATCCAAAATAGTCTAAGTGCCTGTTAAACATTCAAAATGGGTGCCCCTCTGGACAGGCAAGAATTCATAGCTCAGCCCGCCTTCCTCTTCGCTGCTTGCCCTGTTAGTCACCAGCCACCAGAGCAGTCCTCCATGCAGTCCCTGGCTAGTAGGGCTGAGTTTTAGGTTAATTCATAGGTCCTACTATCTCTTGGGAATATCCAAGCTGTCTGTGCCATCACGATCGCTGCCAGACCACAGTTTTGTATGTCTCCTTTTTTGGTATTCTCATGCAAATTCTTCTGCTAGTTGGAGTTTAGTCCACTTCTAAATCCTTCCCTTCAAAGCTCAGGTGTCCAGGATTATCTTCTGTATCTGTGTTAATTGGTTTCCCTTTTCTTTGTTGAAGAGAGTCTGTGCAGTCTTTCTGTCTATTCTGCCATCTTACTGGAATCGTCCTTTCTCTCTAAGGTGTGTCTCTTGTCGACAGCATATGGATGGGTTATGTTTTCTTACCCACTCTGCTACTCCCCATCTCTTGCGTGGTGCATTTAATCCATTTACATTCAGTGCAGTGATCAACAAGTATGGATTTGTTACTGTCATTTTATTATTATTATTGTAGTGTTGCTGATTTCTTTGTTCTGTATAATTTTGTGTACTGAGCTCATTTGGTTTATGAATCATGTTATCACTTCTTTTGTTGCTATTGTTTTAGCATTTGCTAAATATCCTTGTTTTTCCTCTTTTTTATTTTGATGTGAAGGTTTATCATTTTTCTTGTAAGTTACCTTGTGATTTATAATTATCTTCCCAAGTTTGGAACAATTCAGTCTATCTTCTTTACCATTTAGAAGTTCTGTAACTACACTATTTTTTCCCTCTTTTTGGTTTGCAGTTGTCCTCATTTGCAAATTGATGTCTCTGGTTCCCTGTTTACAATCTTGTAAGCTTATTTACTTTGGATACTTCCATAACTGCATTGGTTTCTGGGTTATGTCATCATGCATGTTAATGGTCTAGTGTTACTTGCCATTTTGGGTTCTCTGTCCAAAGGATTTCCTTTAGGGTCTCTTGTAAGGTTGGTCTGGTTTTAACAAATTCCCTTAGTTTCTGCTTATCTGGAAATCTCTCATTTTCACCATCATATTTGAGGGACAGTTTTGCTGAGTATATAATTCTTGGCTGGAATTTTTTTTCTTTCAGGGTTTTATATATACCATCCCATTGCCTTTTCACCAGTGTATGTAACTTTTCGTTTTTCCCGTGCTGCTTTCAGGATTCTTTCTTTGTCTTTCATTTTTGTGAGTTTGATGTTGATATGTCTTGGTGATTTTTTTTGGGGGGGGAGGTGTCTCTCCTGTTTGAGGTTCATTGGACTTCTTGAATGAATATATTCTCACCTTTCATCATATCAGGGAGATTCTCTTCCAACAAATCTTCAACAGTTTTCTCTGGTTTTATTTGTCCCTTCCTCTTCTGGAATTCTGATTACATATAGGTTATTCCTCTTGATAGTATCCCACATGAACCTTAGGCTTTCTTCATTTTGTTTTGATCTTTTTTCTAATTGATCCCTATCCAAGGAACTATTGAGGTATTTGCTTTCAGTCTCACTAATTCTGTCTTCTGTTGATTCAATTCTACTTCTTTGCCCATTTGATGTGTTATCTATTTCTGAGAATTTAGTATTAATCTTCTGGATTTCTATCTATAGATTTTGTTTCACTTATTTTGTCATTCTGTTCTTGTATTGTCTTTTGAAATTGTTCTAGGGTTTTCTCTATGTTTTCCTCAATTTTGTCACTGTTTTCCTTCATCTGTTTCTGTTACTGTTTTCCTTCATCTGTCTCTCAATCCATTGAAGGTACTTAAATATAATTCTTTTGAATTCCTTATCAGGGAGTTCCAATGCTGCTTCTTCCTCAGAGATGTGTTCTGGATCTATATCCTGGTCCCTTGCTTCTACTGCTTTATCTTGCTTCTTTGTGTGGATTGTGATGGTCTTTTGTCTCCAAAACAATGTGACATTTTTGTGTTTATATTTAATTGGTGATTGTAAGTTGGAATGATTCACTCAAGATTTTAGTTTTCTTTGGATATATCTGAGTAAGTAGAGTACTGTGCTCCTCTGTTCACTAGTTGGCAGCACTTATGCACTCATCACCTATCTCCTTTGCAGTCATCAGCTCCCGTATGTCTGTGCTGCCCTTGGCAAGCGGGGCCTATTCTTAAATCCCAGGAATGCAAATGAGAACACTGTTGCTTTAAGTATCCAAAATAGCTGAACCACGTGTAAACATTAAAAATGGCCGCACTTTCCAGACAGCTGAAAGTGCCCAGCTCAGTTTGTCTCCTTCTTTTCTGTTTCCCTTTTCAGTCATAAGCCACCAGTGCAGTCATCCATGAAGTCCTTGGTGAGTAGGGCTGATTTTTAGGTTAATTCTCAGGTCCTAACACTACTTGGAAATATTCAAACTATCTGTGCTGTCAGGATAGCTGACAGCCCACAACTCCATTTGTCTCCTTATTCACTGTTTTTTTTCAGGTTCTTCTAAAAATTAGTGTTCAATCCACTTCTGTATCCTTCATTTCAAAGCTCTGGGCTCCAGAATTATCTTCTCTATCTGTGTCAATTGGTTTCTCTTTTCTTTGTTGAAGAGGGTCTGTGTAGCTTGTCTGCTTATTCCACCATCTTACTGGCGATCCAGCTGATTTTTCTCTCCTACCACTTCCCTAACCTTTCTCCCTAACTCTCTCCCCATTTCCATCCCCATTTGCCACTCTGATGAAGCTTACTGTTATTCCTTGAATATGCCATGTTTCCTGTCACCTCTGTGCCTTTAGACATGTCTTGCCTGAGACACTCCTCCATCTCTTTGTCCAACTGGAAAACTTACTTCAGATACCACCCCAGAGCCTTCTCTGGCCTTCTTAACCTGGGTTAAAGGCCCCTTCTCTGTGCTCCTGAACTAGCCTCTGCTTACCTCTATTATAGCTTTTCTTTTAAACCTTATTTACATCCTGCACTTGACCATAACTTTGAGAATAAAGTCTGTGTCCTTTATCCCTGTGACCGACAGATATAATTGATATTTATTTTATTGAATGAAGGAAGGAAATGAGTAAATATTGTAAGACATGAGATTTTAACTTGCATTTGAAATTCAGAAACATCCCTCTGAGCTTAAAAACTAAATCTCATTTTGTTCTGGGCCTAGTCACCTCTACCCTGAGAGTGCTCAGTTGGATAGTGAGCTCTTGGGGATCATGATAAGACCATTTATCCATTGCTTTCTAGGTATGCTTATCTGCATTTTACAAAGAAACAGGCTCAAGGAGAGGAAGAGTTGCCAAATATCACACAGCAAAGGGCAGAACCAGAATTTGGACCTGGTCTGACTGTAAAGCCAATATTCTTAATCAGTAGCTAGTCTACTAACTCATACATTTCTTTCAATGTTTATTCATTTGTTTACTCAACAAATTTTCATTGAATATTTACTATGTGCCTGAGTACATATAGCAATGTACCAAACTGACAAATGCTTTGCCCTCAGGAAGCTTAATTCTAATAGCGGTGGGTGATTGGATAGGTGTTAGTGAAGGGGTCAGGCTTGATGGGGCTGAGTGTGAGCTCTTCTGAGGTCCCTTCTGTTCTAAGTCTGTGCTTAGAGCAAAGAGCACAACCAGTCCAGATCTCTTTCTAACATAGATCACCCTGTGTGTTACTACCAGATCAACTGGCCATGGTCTTTTTCCAGGTTTGATCGTAGACGAGTGATCATCAGGAAGGGACAGAAGGGTAACAGCTTTTATTTCATCTACCTGGGCAAGGTCGCAGTAACCGAGGATGAGGATGGCAGCAGCGCCTTCCTGGACCCATACCCAACAGTGCTAGAAAAGGGCTGCTCTTTTGGGGTAAGAATAAGAGGAAAAGCCTGGCTTCCTGGGGTGGTTTGGAGGTATGAAAGAACTCCTTCAAGAAGCTCCTGATCAGGCCCAGTCTTGCTTTACCCACTATGCAAATCACTGCCTTGTTATGTGCCCCAGAGCCCTTATATCTAATGCCAGAGGAGTTGGACCAGGCGATGTCCAAAGCTATCCTCTTCATCTGTGATCTTTAAGGAGTATTTCCCCTTCATAACATCTTAGAAGGAGCCCTGGTGACACAGTGGTAAGCACTCAGCTGCTAACTGAAAGGTTGGTGGTTTGAACCCACCCAGTGGCTCCACAAAAGAAAGACTTGGCTTTCTGTAAAAATCTGCTTCCATAAAGATTACAGCCTAGGAAACCTTATGGAGCAGTTCTACTCTGTCACATGGGATCACTCCGAGTTGGAATTGACTTGATGGCACACAATAGCATAACCCCTTAGAAATGCATTGACTTCACAGCAATATCTCTCTGGCTTCCTCTCCTCTTATTCATTCAGGCCTGTTGTCTCTTTTCTACAAAAAAGAAAACCCACTGCCATCGAGTCAGATCTGACTCATAGCGACCCCTTCTTGGGTTTCCAAGGCAATATCACTGTGGAAGTAGATTGCCCAACCTTCCTTCCGGGGAGTGGCCAGTGGGTTTGAACCGCCAGCCTTCTAGTTAGCAATCAGATGCCTTAGACGCTATACCACCAGAGCATGTTAAAAGGGAGGAGTGGACCCACAAAAGGAGAGACTGAGCAGGCAGCACAGAGGGGGCCAGGGGACTGCAGTCTGGGGAGGAGAGACCTCAGGGGAGATAGAAGCAGGTTTTGAAACTTGCAAGCCTTTGAGCAGGAAGCTGGAGGTGACCTCTCGCTTGCTCATGCCCTTGTTTATCCTATAGGAAATGGCTCTTCTGCGTTCTTCAGTAAGGAGGGCCACTGTGGTCTGTATGGAAGAAACAGAGTTCTTAGTTGTTGACAAGGAAGATTTCTTTGCTAATAAGCTGGATGTGGAAGTTGAAAAGGATGCTCAGTATCGGTTTGAATTTTTCAGGTAACTCCACCTTCACTCAGCATCTTTTTATTTTTCACCATGTGTTTATTAAGCACTTGACTTTGTCCTAGACCTGGTGGAAAACATATTAGGTGCTGTTCTCTTTGCCTAGAATACTCTTCTGTACCCATCCCTTCTCTGTTTAGCAAACTCCTACTGCCCCTCCAGGTCTCAGCTCAAAAATCATTTCTTTGTGGGAGAAAAATAGCTAACATTTATTGAGCACTTACCGGGCCAGGCAGGGTGCTAAGCACTTCGTACTACTTGTCACATCTAATCTCTTATTCCATTTCATGAGGTTATTTTTCTTCTTTTCCCAAATGTATAGGTGAAGGAGTCAAAGCTCAGGATGACAAAGCCAGGATTTGTGCCCAAAATGTCTAGTTCAGAAGTCCCTGGGCCTCACCATTACTAACTAAACCCACTCCAGAATAGAGAGAGTATCTCACCATATGTTTCTATAGCACCCTGTGTTTCTTTAGAGCCCCCATCCAAACTAGTTTTTTTTTTTTCTATAAATATGTGTATAACAAAACATTCACCATTTTAACCATCTTTGCATGTACAATTCATTGACATTAATTATGTTCGTCATGTTGTTCAACAGACTGTAATTTTTGATCACATAATCATTTCCTTACTTTTTCCCCCATCAGATAGTAAGCAATGTGGTAGGAGATCTGTTACTGTAATCTCGCTCTTATCATAGTGCCAGAACCACTATTTATTCAAAAAATAAATAGTGAATAAATGAGTAACAGGATATAATAATTGGAAGCTTTGCAGGTCAGAAAAGTAAGCACCTTACTTATGGGTACCATATTTAATGATCAAAAAGTAGAATTCATGTAGAACAAAAGACTTTTTTTTTTTTTTTGCCTTGGGATACTTGTTCACCTGAAAAGCCATATAAGGGTATAATCTCACCCCAGCATCAATAGCAAAGTTCAACAACACAGAAAATAACAAATGCTGGTGAGGATATGGAGAGATTGGGAATCTCATACACTGCTGGTAGGACTGTAAAATGATACAACCACTGTGCAATTGGTATGGTGATTCATTAAGAAATTGGTAATAGAATACCATTTGATCCAGCAATCCTATTACTAGGTATATATCCTAAAGAAGTGAGAGGCAGAACATGAACAGATATATACATAGCCATAATTATCACAGCACTATTCACAATAGCAAAGAGATGGAAACAACCTAAGTGTCCATCAGTGGAGGAATGGATAACCCAACTGTGGTACATACACACAATGGAATAATACTGTGCAAGCCTAAAGAATAATATAGAATCTGCAAAACACTGCATAATGTGGATGAACTTGGAAGACATTATGCTGAGTGAAATAAGTCAATCCCAGAAAGACAAATGTTGTATCAGTCCACTATTGTAAAATGTAAAGAAAAGGTTTATACACGGAAGGAAACTTACTTTGTTGGTTACTTGGGATGGGAGAGGGGAAGGGAAAATTCCTAGATAGGTTGAAAATATATATAGAGAGAAACCAAAGATTATTAGTGGTTACCAAGGGTAGGAGGGAGGGGGAAAGGGGAAGCTTCTGTTTGTGGGGCATTGAGTATATGCTAATGGTGATGGACTATTTTGGAAAAAGGATAGCAATAGTGGTGGCACAACATGAAAAATGTCATCAATGTCCCTGAGCTACAAATATGGAAATTGTTATATTGGTGAATGTCTTGTTGCGTATCTTTTCACCACAATAAAAGTGTTTGTTTTTTTTTTTTTTAAAAAAGCCATATAAGCATATAGAAACTAAATGTCTTTTAATTATTCTTTAGTTACTTATCTTTATGAGAAAGAGTAAAAATCAAGTGAAGTATCTACACTGAAAGGAAGTTATCTATCTAACCAACACTGTAAACACAGGTTGTAGAGTTGTACAGCTGTAGAGAATGTGAGATGGACAAGCGGCATCTGGTTTCTCTGGGTCAGGGCTGAGGAGAAAG